ATTTAAAAAATAAGATAACCACTGTCCAGAACCATTAGAAAGATAAAAATCGCCACTAAGTTCTTCTATTCTTTGATTTAAGTTAGTTTTAAATTTTTTTAGGAAGTCCGGTTTTTTTTAAACAATAAAAGTTTCTTACCAGCTTAACACTTCTCCTCCATATTGCCCTGACTTTGTCAGCCTTGAAAGACTGGAATTTTTACTGCCAGCAGAAGACTTTAAACCTGCTTTTCTCGGAGATTTTGTGATATCCCCGAGATCAGCAAGATGTAATCTTCCTGTTCACCATCTCTTCGGGATGATTTAGGTCCATTGGAACCCCCCAGCAATAAAAGTATTGAGTGCGATCTCAGAGCTTTGAGATCGCACGTCGTCTCATCACGGCATCCAGGCTCCGCCCCAAGCTTCAGGGATCTCTTGAAGTTCCTAAATGTAGCAGCTAGAAGCATTGTGCTGTAGGTATATGCAATGTTTAGCTTGACATCTTTTAATATTTTGTTCCAAGTAGGTACAATAGTAGTGTACAATATTTTTTCACAGAGGTAAAAAAAAGAAGAAGTGCGGAGAGTCATAGAATATATACTTTTTCCAGGCTGTGTGGCTAAGCATGTAGGCAAAAAATTCAATTCCTGGCTTCTAAATACTGGTTATGTTAATTCACCTCTGCTCTTTCTGGATTTGTGAGATCACCTCAGATTTAAATCTCTCGTTTTCAAGAGGCTGTTGATGCCATAATTTAGTCTAGAAGGTACCTTCCTGACATTGTGATTGTTATCATGTTATAATGCTATATCTATGACCATCTGTGTTTGGCCAGTTAATCCAATAAAAGAAGGTGTCTAATTTGAATTGCAGAACCCATGTCACCTACAGATTACTCATAAGGCCCCTTCCTGATCCATCCCTTTACAGAAAGTGTGTTTATGCCTTCAGCATTGATCCATCCATTTTGGTTGTTTCTCCTAGTGGAGCAGAACGTCCCCCGGATTGGTTTGGAACTTTTTCCAATGTTCTTCTCCTAGCCCAGAAATTTACAGCTGGAATGATCGTCTTACACATTGGTGAGCAGTTTTTATTCCTTACTTCATATTGTGTTGAGGAATGATCTTGCCTGCATAAAATAGGTGGTTGGGTAGATTTTGGCCTACCTGCTGCAAAGCTGCAAATAAAAAAACAAGTTGGTTTTTCTTTGCAGTGTTTATATCAGTCACCCATGTCCATCGTACCAAACCACTGTGGAAGAAAAGCCCCTTCACTAACTTCTGGTGGACTCTGACAGTTGTGGTTGTGTGAGTCTCTTTTCCTAATTCTTAGAAACTGTGGCTGAATCTAGTCAGCCTTTTTAAACAAGTTGGCTTTGTTTTTAACCAGTACTCCTTTCTCACCTAAGTACTTCTTTTGATGTATTCTATATAAATATATATTTGACTGGGAAACAGCATCACATTTCAGTCATTTTATGGATATGTGTTTCTGGAATGTCCCAATTTTCTGTGTCTCTTTTCAGATTCCTAATTCATTTCCTTAGTCTTGGCACTTTTAAGGTATTTCATGGTCTAGACCAGGAATTCTTAATCTTATTGTATAATGACCACTTTGAACATCTGGTGAAACCTACAGATATATTCCCAGAAACTATATGTTTAAGTGCATAACATAAAAGACATAGATTTTATAACAAAAACAGTCAATATATGCTCAATTTATGTATAAAAATAATTTAAATAATTTTAGGTAATGATATTTATTGAAATTATTCATATTTTTGCAGTCTAGATGCCACATATTGCTTTGTTGTCTACATTCTTTATTAAATGAAGAAGTAAAATTTAATTAGTGGTCAGGAATATAATGTTTTCCCATCCAAATTCACAGGCCTTTCTGAATCTATCCATGGAGACCTTAGGGCTCTCTTGTCCCTAGGTTAAGAACTCCTGGCCTACACCATCATTTTGCAGTTTTTTTGTGGATGTGTCAGGAATGGGCAACCTGTGGATCTTCAGATACTGTAAAATACAATTCCCAACAACTCCAGCCATCCAATTCGGTGGTGAGGAACAATGGTATCTGCACTTCAGCAGCACCTTGAGGTTTACAGGTTGCCCCCCTCCCCCCATATGAGGTGGATTCCACTGACTCTTATTAAAATTCAGCACCAAGGTTTCCTTCCTGCTTCTGTATATTCCACTAGGCATCCTCTTCTGCCAGCAGCCACATTTGAGAGACGACAGTATCTCCTTTCCAAGAATGATGTTACTCACGGATTGTTTCTGTATATTACAGGTTGCTGGGCCAGATTGTTCAGACCTTCCTGGACTTGAAACTGTGGGTGAATCTTGAGTCTCCTGTGACTTACCAAATGAATGACATTCCCATGGCCTCCTGGCTGCTGGGTTTGCTCTCCCTTGTCCTTGTGGTGATAATCAATGAGACTGTCAAACTCCACGAAATCAGGTAGGAAATCTAGCACTTCAGATATTTTGTATATATAATAAGTCTTGGAATTTGTTAAAGCAGGTAGGGTGGTACCTCCTTCTTCCTTACGTTGGATTGATGAGAAATAGAGAAACAGCATCCCTTTGTCCAAAGAATGTGTGAGATGCAAGAGACACCCCCCCCCCCATATTGACACCTCTTTATGGCCACTGGCTTCTGCACAGTGGTGGGATCCTGCTGGTTTAACACCCGGTTTGGTGATCGTGTGTTTTGCGTGCGCAATTTTAACAAAACTTACCTTCCACCTTCCACGTTACTTCTGGGGAGTAACACAGCTGAGGCGTGGCAATCAGCTCTGCCGCGCAAATCAACAGGATATAGGTAAGTAAAGCACAGGGGTAAGTGGGGGGGGGCACCTGATTGTCGGAGCGAACCAGTCCGCTCCCAGCTGAATCGTTGGAGCTACCAGTTCGCCCGAACCAGCTGAATCCCACCCCTGCTTCTGCAGCACCTTCATACAAAATGATACAAAGCATCCCATCATGCATAGAAACCTTTCAGCCTTGTGAGGTAGACCAGAGAGGAAACATGGCTAGATGAGCTAATTCTACTCAATTGTCAGGTTTCTTTAACAGTATCTTGTAAGTCTGAAAAATATATCTTTCTCCACATCCCCTTTACGGCCCAAGAAACTAGGGATGGTCTCTTGTGAACCTCTCGCCCTGCCCACATTCATGCTGTGGGCTAAGTTGCTTTTTTGCCTTGCCTCACAAGGTCATTTCCATATACCATGACATCATGAAATAGACCTATTTATATAGACAAAATGAAAGGCATTTGGTGAAGGTTGAAGATGGGTGGCTGTTGCCCACAGTATGCCTAGAGTAGGCCAGAGCATGTGTGTTGCAAACCTGGACTGCGAACGAAGTGTGTCCTGCTAGTTCAAACAAGCACTGCTCTTTTCAGCAAATAGCCTTAAAGCCCGTATGGTATTCTTATCTCCTGTTTCCCCCTTGCTCTTTGTTTCTCTTGTTAAAAAGAAAAAAATCCTATCTTGCTGAAAGAAAAGATCATGATTGTCCTCCTCCTCATCCCTCTTCAAAGGGAGAATAATTTTGTGCTATTTAGCCATAGCAATGGCAATAGCACTTAGACTTATACACCACTTCCTGATGCTTTACAGCCCTGTGTAAGCGGTTTACAGAGTCAGCACATTGACCCCCTATAAACTGGGTCCTCATTTTGCCAACCTTGGAAGGATGGCAGGCTGAGTCAACCCTGAGCTCCGTCCGGATGGAACTCCAGGCTGTGGGCAGAGTTTGCCTGCAGTACTGCATTCTAACCACTGAGCCACCAGGTGCAGAGTTACTTATTGCACAATGGTAATCTTGTCTCATTGTCAAACTGGAGCCTTCGGAACGTCAGAAATACATTGGCAAGGATTAGGGGCAAAAGAGCTATGAAAAGAAAGAAGCATTAACCCATGGCATGGAGGGAGGCCTGCAGTAGAGGCCAAGAAACCAAGGCACCTTTGACAAATATGCAGTGTGGAAATATTCTGCAGGTCACCATGATATAATTGGAAATCATTTTCTTTCCAATTATCAAAGAAGGCTTATTAAAAAGAGATACTCAAGTCACAGAGCCTCCAAATTGTGCTGTGTATGCAGTGTGTGTATCAGACAGAACTGTTAGTGCACCTAGGTTTTTGTTTTTGTTTTGTTTTACTAATGGGCTAGGTTGCTGTGTTTCACTGCTGACTTCCTTTACTGAACTTTCCAAACAAGCCTGTGTGGTAGCTAATGTGGTAGATCAGTACTTTTATCACAGATTTACCAAGGGGAAGCTGCGTTTGCCGAAAAGCCTATGTTAACTTGAGAAATTTCTAACTTTCCAAAGAGCTTAAAAACAGCTGCAGAAAATCATGTGAATGTTTGTATTGTATATGTATTAAAAAAATATTTGAGCAAAGTTTAGGGTAGCTTAGATTGTAGGAACAACACTACTTCCTGTTTTTTTTCTTCATTTGTTCATTTTTTTTCTCTTTGTAGGGTTCGGGTGCGTTACCAGAAGAGACAGAAGCTGCAGTTTGAAACTAAGCTGGGCATGAATTCTCCTTTTTAATCCCCTCAGGTTGGATGTGCCCTAGAGGGCTGCATGCCCCTTTTGTGCCCAGCCTTGTCACTTAGCAGAGAGGGAGAGCAACAGCCCCACACAGGAATCCCTCTATAGTCTGACTGAGAGGTCAGCAGGGGTCCAGGCGAAGGGTTGACATTGGGACAATGACACACAGACAGCTGTCCTTGCCATTATTTATTTCACGACCTCCTCCAGTGATGCTTCTTGGAATCCCTTGGTTTGGCCTGGATCTAAGAGCAGGAAATTGTCCATGATACCTTTTTCAGGCTCCATGATTTGAATCTGTAATTTGTCACTTGGTGACTTCCCTCCTGTTGGTTGCTTCTGTTCAAGTGTGTCTGGCTTTCCAGTCCTGCTAGGCCCTACAGGGAAGGCCCCAAGAAGCCTCAAATTAAACTCCCCTGGGATGTGACGTCTGTTATCCCTAACTAGCAAGCCAGGCCTTTCATCTATATGGTGAGAGCATTGATGGGGAAAGTTAGTTTGTAGGTTTCTCAGCTCTGTCAGGTGCCATATTTTCTTAACGCTCCATACTAGTTGGCTAGATTGGGTTATGTGTGGTAATGTCTCTCACATACGCACACTCAAGGACTGGGAAGCCACAAGAATCCATGGGATCCTGTAAACATGGAAGTCAAAGTGTCCCACAAAGTCGCCTGAACCAGAGCTGTGGCAGGAGTTTGTATTTCCTTCTGTGAGAGCACATTTGCAGGCAACTGTCTCTGGCTGTTTTGAATAAGTTGAAGGCAGATTGGGTTATGTGTGGTAATGTCTCTCACATACGCACACTCAAGGACTGGGAAGCCACAAGAATCCATGGGATCCTGTAAACATGGAAGTCAAAGTGTCCCACAAAGTCGCCTGAACCAGAGCTGTGGCAGGAGTTTGTATTTCCTTCTGTGAGAGCACATTTGCAGGCAACTGTCTCTGGCTGTTTTGAATAAGTTGAAGGCAGGCGACGCTGGCCGTATCTTTTCCTGCCTCAAGTCCATGGGCTTGGCTGGTCACTTGTCAGGCCCAGCAGAGAGACACCTTTAGTTGAATGTTGTCCTTGCCTATACTTCAAAGCATATTTGAGCGGAAGCTCAAGTTAGTGAACTTACAAACACAAAATACCTCATTCCAAAGTCTGTTCCCCAGAAGGGAGATTTTTCTGGTGGGAACCTGCATACCCCTACACCTATCTCTTTTCTTAGAGGCCAGTTTAGCTATGAAGAGTAATTATCTCTAAGCAGAAGTAAGTGCAACTATGTTGTGCTATCACTTTTCACTTCTTCAGGCTATATTATATGTTCCATATTAAGACTCTCCCAGACATAACATACAGGCGAAACGGTGGGAGATGCTTAAATTAAACACTGTTTTGGTCAGATTTTTGAGCTGCAATGTAACATACCCAACTGCCATAGATATGGGTGAGACAATCTCAATTCATTTCTCACTGCTGCATTTAAAATTACTGATTGATTGCGACTAATCCCACAATGCTCTGAGGGGACATTATCTTTCTATAGTGGGCAAAATGATATTCAGCTTTGCCAGGTAATAATCACAGATTGATGCCTGACAGTATTGGGACACTTTTCTGAAAAAAAAAGAGGTTTTCTAGCGGGAAGATTTTTTTAGAAACTTGATCTATGGTCCTCCACATACAACAAGCAGAGTTTACTGATTTGTGACCTCTAATTGATTTGGTCTGGGAAAATGATCAGTAACTTATTACTACATTTCTAAATAGTGTACTGCTTAGACTTTTCCTGTTGTTCAACTTTACTGCTCTCCACATAAAGCCTGTCATTTTCTCAATTTATTATTATCTAGATTTCTAAGAATATTGAGGTTTGGAATATGTATTCTGATTTACACAATCCTTTTATTAACAAGCTATGATGTTGTCCAGGATCCGAATCCTTTTTGAGGTTGAGAAACCTGCTCAATCCCAGGTTAAAATGTCAGGATGTGGACAAAGGGAGGGATTCCTTTGCTGAAGGAATAAGGATTCTCTTACAGGTTTTTAAAAACCCAAGACAGCCATTTTAATATATAACAGTGGATGAAAACCAAGTCTCCTAGAGAGGGTGCTTCCTATAATTATTTTTCTCTCTCTGAAAGCTGAAAATGACCCCCCCTCCTTTCCTACTCTCGTCTCTCCTTAGTGATACTCAATAAGAATTAAACCATGACTGAAAAGCCTTTTTCATGGCAGTCTCCTGAAGAACTTGCTGCCTTTAGTCAGACAGGGCTTCAGAAAAGTATGAGGCATCGCCTTAGGAATGAATTTCACTTAACAGTTTGTTTTTAAATAGTGTACATTTTATATTTAAGATTTTTGGGATGGATGTAAAAATAGATTTGTATTAAAACTTGTAAATTGTATAAAGAAACCAAGATCACCTGATATGAATGGCAATAAATGATTGTCTTTGATACAGCAATGCCCCCCCCCCATTGCCTTCTTTGGAGAACAAACTGGATAGACTTCATTGTAGACCACACCACTCCAGAGCACAGTTCTGGAGATGGACAACATATATAGCTGAAGAGCTCTTGCTCTCAAGAGTGGGAAAATACAAAGATTTTATATTGTGGAGAAAGCAGTTTTATGAGGCAGTTTTAATAGCCTCTTCAAGTATGTTCCTTAATATAACTCAGAGTATGTGCAAAGTATATTGCAGAGGAAGAAATTGAAAGAAATTAATGCCTCTTAATTAGTCCCCAGGTAAAGTAAGACATGAACCTGAGGCTTAGTGATTGCTACAGAATACACGCTAACCTAAGAATAAGTTCCATTGAATTTCAGGGAACATATTTTCAACCAGAGACCTTTGTAAGGTTGATTTTTTGGAGGGATTGACTTATTTGTGATGTGGTTAAGTGACAACTGGCTAGATTTGTTGTTCTCCTCTTCCCACCACCAACTTTTTAAATCAAAATAACATTATTAAATGAGATTTGGAGTCAAAAGGCCTCACAAAGTGGCTAATAGAACAGTGCCTTTATTAGCGGTGGACTATGAGGTCTGATGTAGTGGGCCAGCCTTTCACCACATATAGAAAGGTGCAGGAATTTCTTTAAAATGATAAAGCCTTAGTAAGACCACACTTGGAATACTGCATCCAGTTTTGGTCACCATATTATATAAAAGATAGAGACTCTGGAAAGGATGCAGAGAAGAGCAACGAAGATGGTTAGGGGGATGAAGGCTAAAACACATGAAGAACGGTTGCAGGAGTTGGGTTTGTCCAGTGAAAAGGGCAACGGGTGACATGAGAGCAGTGTTATCTGAGGGGCTGCCACAAAGAAGGGGGGTGTCAACCTATTTACCAAAGCACCAGAAAGCAAGACATGAAGCTGTGGTTGGAAACTAACCAAGGAGATAAGCAATCTAGAACTAAGAAATTTCCTTACAGTGAGAGCAATTAATCAGTGGAACAGCTTGCCTTCAGAAGTTGTAGGTGCTCAAACTAGAGGCTTTTAAGAAGAGTCTGGGCAGTCAGTTGTTTGAAAAAGGTCTCTTGCTTGAGCAGATGATTGGACTAGAAGACCTCCAATGTACCTTCCAAGTCTCTTATTCTGTTAACGTGCAAAATAAGAAGGACCTATTTCTTCTCTTTGGCAGCTCCTTTTAAAATGTTTTACACACTGAGACCTGAGAATTTGTATACTTACACGGTACACGAATTGTAAAATCAGCACTCGTGGTTTTATGGTCTCCAAAGACAACTTGTAAAGTCCCTTAAGCTCTATCTGCTAAAGCTAATAATATATTATAATATATTCAATTCATCTGAAAGCAAAAAGGAGACCCAACTAGCCAGGCAAGACCATCAAAAGGGAAAATTATTTCCACTATTTAATACCATCAAATTGTAAGGTGTGTTAATGGAAAACAATAAGCCATGATTAACATTTAATAAGATTTAAACTTCAAAACTGTCAGGTGTTCTCATGAAGTAATTTCCCTATCATTTTCTACTCCAAGGCTGGTTAGACTCGGCTGCATCCATACATAATTTACACAGCATACAATATATTTAAAATAAACTATTAGTTCTTTAAAAAATAAGCATTTTTTGAAAGAGCAAATAAAAACCAAACAGATTGGATTCTCTCAGCGATAAGGAGAAAGAATAGCATTTTACTGCCTCCTAGTGGCTCAGACAGTAATGTGGTTCCACCCAGATCATAAAATACAACAGATCTTTGATTAGTAAATATATAACAAACCCACTTTTAAAAAATATATACATATCTTTAATTTTTTTTACAGTTTTATCAACAGTGGGGAGGAAAAATGAGTTCTAGCCAGTCAGTAAAGTGTGAAATGTATAATCTATTTAGAAAAAAAAAGTTTTATAAATGAGTTCCATCTGCCAGTCAGTGCCGACTGGCAACTACACGGAGGAGAGCCTTTTCAGTAGTAGCTCCGACCCTTTGGAACGATCTCCCCGTGGAGATTCGTACCCTCACCACCGTCCAGACCTTCCGCACAGCCCTTAAGACCTGGCTAGCCCGTCAGGCCTGGGGACAAAGATAATTGTCCCCACCCGAATGATGAATGAATGTTGCTTACTATTTTACTTCTATGTATTGTTGTGTCTATTGTTTGTATACCCCCCCCCCTTTTATTTTATGTAAGCCGCCCTGAGTCCCCTCAGGGAAAAGGGCGGCCTATAAGTATTAATAAATACCAAATACCAAATTATAGGGACTCTTTTTGAAAAGTGCCACCGGTTGCAGCTATTATTCTTACAGCCCTAGTCATCAACCAAAGGCTGACTAATCCACTTGACACTGGATAAAAAGAGTCAAACACGAAGAGAAACTAGACCTATGGCAAAGAGCTGCTAAAAGGCTCCTTTGTCCTGACAGCCATATTTGCTACTTTCCTTCCCCACTTTATTTCTAAGAAACCAGCACTTGCATTGCCTGATTCATGGCTGAGAAAAAAAAGAATTGTGCTTTCTTGGTTCCATCAGCAGAGGGCTTCCTCTTGCCATGAAAGGAGAATTTACCCTCCTGGTAAACCCTTTAAGACAGCAAGAACCTTCAAAAGGGAAGGGCACTGTCATAGTTTCAGGCATAATTTAAAAAAAATCTTGGCTGTAAGCCTATTTGTAGCTTATAAACAATTTGTTTGCATCTTCTCCCTTTTTCTCACTTCAGAGATCATTTTTTCTGAAGTGCAGTAGGGTAACATAGCTGTAGCTTGGCTCTTCTAGATTCTTATTTGTGGGTTTAATAATAAGCTTGTAGGCCAGAGGTCTTCACACTTGACAACTTTTAAGACTTGTGGAGTTGCCAAGTTTGGGGACCCCTGTTGTAGGCACTCTTTGAGCTGGGAGGGTGAGTGAGAAAGGACTAAGGGGCAGTTTCGCAAACGTTTGGAGCCCAAATGCTGCCATTTTTCGTTTCCCTAAAAAGGCAACAGCTCTAATTAGCTGTCAAAAGTGTTTTGCTCCTTGCAGGGGAGAACACTGTAAGTTAAAAAAAATGTCACTTCATATGGCTACAACAGAAACTCAGTTGGCATGTTAGCATATTCATAGCATAGTCATTATCACTAGGGCAGCGGCCCCCAACCTTTGGGACTGGTTCCATGGAGAAAGGTTTTTCCATGGATCTGAGGTGGCATAGTTTTGTATACTGCCTGCATCCCACTGAAGGGGCTTTGCTTGTTTGCACAAAATTGGTTGCTGACATGCTGTGGTCTGGTGCCCAAGGGTTGGGGACCCCTGCATTAGGGGATTTGCTAAACTAGCCGGTATTGCTCTCACAGAGTCTACTGAAAAAGGGGGAAATGGAAGACAAATCTCTTCTCTGCTCTCTGGTCTTCCAATCCCATGCATTGCATAAGTCCAAAGGATTTGGGAGAGGTCAAGTAGCTTCCCATTTTTCCCAAAACTTTGCTTTGAAATGATGTGTGCAATTTTTTTATGAACCACAAGCTATGGCATGTACTTTTTGAACAGGAAGGAGATTTAAGCCCACTGGTTACATAGTGCTTTCTGTATTGATATGCTGAAAAGGCCTCAGGGATTTTGCCTTGTTCTGCAAGCTGCCAACAACCAACCAGTGGACGACTATATCTGAAAAAAAATTGACACAATGCTTCTACTATTGAAATGACAAAACTCAGGAACAAAGAATGAGTTTGTCTTGAGAAGAAATGTAGGTCTGTGTGGCAGGAGGAGACCTTTTGAGGAGAAGCTCACAGTGACACTGATCATCTTATTCCACAATTAGCCTGAGTAGAGATATTTCTGCCGCTTTGTAACTGCAGTGTGGTGTGCACCATTAGTTCATAAGGCAGCACATTTGTTCTGGTGTATAGGTAGAAACCAAGTCAATCTGCATTGGAGTGCTTGCTTGTGGTCAAAGAACTAGGAAGCACCAGAGCATATGTAGCTGTTTGGGGCGGTTTCCAGCTGGAAGTGAAGATCTGGGAGCCTCTATCCAGCAAAACATGATGAGGAAGCAAGATGCTAAAGTGCAGGCAGGGAGAAGAAACTAGAAGTACTTGTGAGACACATCTCAGAGGTTGTCCGTCTGTTATATGTGTCAGGTTAAAAGCGTAAACCTATAATAATGCAAGCCAAGAAGCTGGTGCTCAGTCCAACATGGCATCCAGTTGCTCAGCTAGGTCATTGAACATGTTGCTGATGTCTTCAAGAATGTTCTTGGCTGAGTGTGTTGTCCCATAACAGCTGCAGAAGAAGAAGAGAAATACCAAATGAATGCAGGGTTTGAGCAAAAATTAACAGGTCAGCTGGATCTCCCCCTTTTGTGGGAACTGAAAATCATTTCATTCACACGCTTGATACAATTGCTTATCTTTGTTATGGGAATGTCTTCCCAAAATGGACGGCTTTCATTCTCGTGACAGATTATATTGTATAGCCGTTTCAGTCTTTAAGATACTGCTGTTAAATTTCTGTACATTTTTCAGATTAACAACACCTAGACCAACTCTTCCATCAGAGAGTGAGAGAGAGAGAGAGAGACTAGAGATGAATCTGATCTTAGAAAGAAGATGCCAATTATTATTTAATTTAGTGGGTTTGGAGTTTTATTCCTAGGATTTTGTATCTTGTCCAGCTATCTATCATGCACAGGCTTTGGATAATATGTACCCCAACACATAGTTGCAACATGTGTTTATCTGAAAGAAGAAAATAGGAAAAAAGATGCAGGGCTGAATATGTTGGATGTTTGCCTTAAGGCACATCTTTGAATATATTATAAAATATGTCCACATGAAAAATTCAAAATGGCAATTTTTATTTTGAAGTACAAAGCTCATGAGTAATTTATATTTGCAGCTTTCCATTTCCCCCAGATAGCTCAGAAGACAGTTTATGGGGGGGGGGGGATGAAAAATTACAAAAACAATTAAACCACAAGAAGCAATCAAAGTAATGGGTACTTTTCAGCA